TGCGCTTCCCTCCATCCTCAGCTCCCCCAGGCAGCTCCCAGGGTATCTCCCCCCGCCTGCTAGGAGCACCCAGGGCGTGGCAAGGTGAGGGTCGCCTCCCCAGCGCCTGTCCCCGGCCAAAGGCCACCAATGTCCCTTAGCTGGAGCCAGCTCCAACCGCTGCCAGGCTGCACCCTCTGCTGGGACCTGCAGGCATCGGCGCAAGCCCCGCGCCGAGCCCGGCAGCAGGGAGGGAAATGCAGCCCGGCGCTTTGTCGAGCAGTTTGGGGGACACGAAGAGGACCCACGAGTCCTGTCCCCAGCCCATCCGTGCTATTACCCCTCAGTCCCTAAATCCTGCTGAGAACGGAACAGAGACGTCAGGCGTCCTAGCTGCCCGCGCTGCACTCCACCACTGGCAATGCCAGGCTTTCTTGGGATGCTGAGCCTGTGCTCCAGACCCCCAGGAGGGTTGGGGTTTTCCTGAGAAGGTTCGAGGGGCTCTGGGCCAGCCCTTGCCTGGAGGCTGGCATGACTCCTGCCCAGTTGAAGGTGGGGAGTGCCCAGTCTCACCACGGGCTATGCTGGGATGCTGCAAAAAACAGTGCTGCCAAGAGACCTGGTGTTTCATGGCTCACCAGGGCACTCTCCTTTTCCAGTTTGTTTGGCCTCATCTAGCCCAGGTCCTGGTAGGAAACACTGGGGACATCTTCATGGCATAGTGCAGTCCCAGGTAGGGCTGGTCCCACCGCCCACGTAAAGGACACAACTCTTCCCCAAAGCTGGTCCCTTCCCACTGTGCATGGTGTCCCCTGTCTGGGCAAGATGTGTGTGGGGAGCACAGGAAGCTCTTTGTCAGGTCAGGGGACATGTCCATGGCACTGCAAACAAGAAACATGTAACATAACTAGGTCCACCAGTGCCTGGTCCAAACTCAACACAGGAACCCCTGGAGGGTGTTGCACGTCTCCCAGGGCATGAATGGATGAAGCTGCAGCTGTGCCAACACCTCCTCCATCCCTCTCACTCACTCTAACCTTCTCCCACTCCACATGGAGCCCTGCCTGTGCAGACTGAGTTCCTGCCCTGCCAGCTCAGGACGTGCAAGGCAGAGTCTGACTGGAGGAGGGACCCGAGGTGGTGGAGCCCCAGGGTGAGGGGCAGATGCAGCCCCAGGTGAGCCCTGGGTCCCAGAGGGAGGACAAGTGTGCCCCTCAGCTCCCAGCTGGCAAATCCCCACTTCACCCTGGCACAGCCTCAACCCTGGCAAAGGCTGCCGGTGCCCTGGGAAAGGCTGGTTTCCTAATCCTCGGGCCAAGCGGGGACATTGTCCAGGGGCAGAAAGGAAAGCAGCGAGTCAGGCCCTTTGCCCATTGTGCCCTGAGCCCCTGCGCAAACACAGCCCAGCACTTTCATTGTCAGCCCCGCGGGGCGCGGGGGGGCCGCTCTCGCCACACTGCCTAACTGGAATGGACAGCCGGAGTCTGGGGTGGGTGCCCACCCGGCCTCCCCCCCACCCCCTGCCTGCTGACACAGCGCCCTGTTATCGGCACTTCAGCACCCGCCTATAAAGGGCAAGGGGAGAAGACGGCGCCGGCACCGCCACCTTCGCCTCTGTGCCCTGCCGACCAAGTAAGTACCAGGCCGTGAACCCCCAAGCCCCACAGCACAGGCGCTGCCACGCTCCCTCCACCCCTTGCCCCCCACACCGCGCCCCACACCCCCAACGCACACTCTGGGGAAGGGCCAGTCATGGGGTGCTGCGTGGCACAGCAGGGGTGCCCGGCTCGGGCAGGAGGGACGCTGGCACCCGTCTTTGCAAGAGCCAAACTGCTCTGCCCCAGGGCTGCACCCTGCACCTGTGTCTGAGTCGGTGTCACTGCCACCCCCTGCACTGGGTACAGTGTCACCGAACCTGGCCGGCCCTGGGAATCATCATGGGGAGACTGGGAGCAGAGAAACTGGGGCAGCCTCAGGTACCTCTCATGGAGAGATGGGGCATCTCAAATGCCCTCTGCAACTTGGGGGTCACTGGACAGAGATCCTCTAGCACCAAAGGAAGGAGAATGGGAAGCCTTCCCTGTGTCAGCCTGGGAGTGTGAGTGGCTAGTGGCACGGGATGTGTGAGGACAGGCAGGGTGGCAGGCAGAGGGGTGGCTGGGGGCTGAGGGTGGGCACCTGCTTGGGGTGATGAGTGGGGCTCTGCCAGCAGCGGAGTGACTTGCATGACCAGCAGCGAAGCCATGGACACCCTGGGGCAGTACAAGATCACAGTGTGGGAGGAGGAAAGCTTCCAGGGCAAGCGCTGCGAGTTCCTCATGGAGTGTCCCAGCATCATGGAGCGTGGCTTCCGCAAGATCCGCTCCATCAAGGTGGAGTCTGGCCCGTAAGTGCTCCCCCAGCCCCACTGCCCCCTGGATCACCCCTTTCCAGCAAACCCACTGCTTCCAGGGGACTGTCAGAAGCTTCCAGAAAGCCAGAATACCCAAGGCCTTCTTCAGCTCTGACACAGCCTCATCGTGTGACCTCCCTCCCAGTAGTCCTTGCACCTCTATTTCCCCATCTGCAAAGCAGGGAGACCATGCTGAGCCGAGGCATGGTTTGGAGGCAACAGTGTGGCCCAAGGGAGAGGGGTCTCACTCTCAAAAGGGACGTTTGCTGCTAGCAAGGACCCCGACCTCTGTGACAGACCCACACTCTGGCAGAATGTCTCCATCTCCTGTGCAGGAGGGAGAAGCCAGCCCTGGGCTGAGCCTGGGGGCTGCAACACCCATCTCTAAGAGCTCTCCTCCTCTTCCCTCCAGCTGGGTGGGCTTCGAGTACCCCGAGTACCAGGGGCAGCAGTTTATCCTGGAGAAGGGTGACTATCCCCGGTGGGAGGCCTGGAGTGGGAACAGCGGCTACCGGACCGAGCACCTCCTCTCCTTCCGGCCCATCAAGTGTGCGGTGAGTTAGAGGGACACGACCAGGCTGTGCTCAGCCCCCCATCAGTCCAGCGTGGAGGGAGATGAGGGACAGACAGGAGGATGAGTTATGTGGGATATGGGATGGAGGGGCGAAGTATGCATAGAGGTGCTGTGGGATGGGGAGGGGGCTGCACCCACTGGCTCCTTCCTCCCTGCAAGGACCCTGGGATGCTCTTTAGGGCTAACATTTAGTCTGAGTCACCATCTCAGCTCCTTCTGCTTTGTGCATTGGAGAGCCATCTCCCAGGCTGGGGTCCCCAGGCCCTGTTCCCACACCCCAGACATGCAGGGATGGGGTGAGTGAGCTGAGAGGAGCTGGCAGGAACAAAAAGGTGCTTGGGGTGTGGGGTCTGTTCCCCTTCCGCCTGGGGTACCCGAGCCGTGCCCAGGCAGATGCAGCCTCTATCATTCCATCTGCAGAGACACTGGTGCTCGCAATAGCAGCACGTCTGTGCCTCCGAGCTGGGGGTGCCCCCCCCAACTTTTAATAATCACCAGGCAGATATGCTTGGGCTTTAATAAAGGGGATGAGATAAGATCACTCCTTACTGGCAGGACTGCTCCTCGGTGCAGATAGATGCGTGTGGGGGCTGGGCATGGGGGACAGTGCCTCATCGCTCAGTGTCCCAGAAATTAACCCCTGGGTGCCCAGCACCCAGCAAAGCCCCACAGGCAGAGGGACCACCCTCAGCAGCCTGCCTTGCAGTCCTGCAGCCTTGGGGACTATGAGGATGCTGAAGGCAAGAGGCCCATGTGGGTGCAGAGGATGCAGCCACCATCACCGTCACCCTCACCTACAACTGTGCCTTGGGACCACACGGACATGAGAGCAGCATGCTCTTGGCAGCCCTGGGGTGGCCCAGTGAGGGGATACCAGTGTGAAGGTCATCCCCATGCCTTGCACCAAAGCTGGTGCTGTTCCTTGGTGTGTGTCCCTCTGATGCCACACCCCCCATCCCTGTGCAAGCCACCACACCCCCACTGACCCCCAGCTCTCTTCCTCTGCAGAACCACAACGACAGTAAAGTCATCCTCTACGAGGCAGAGAACTTCCAGGGGCACAAGTTTGAGCTGAGCGACGACTACCCCTCGCTGCAGGCCATGGGTTGGGGCAACAAGGAGGTGGCATCCATCAAAGTGAACGCTGGAGCGTGAGTGCCACTGACAGGGCGGGGGGCAGTGGGGGCCGAGAGCAGATTGACAAGCACCTCCCTCCTGCATCGCCCAGAAATGGGGAAAGGAGACCGCAAAATGCTGAAAATCTAAGGCGTGGGGTGTTTTCTGTCCTTCCTATTCCATGGCAAGCAGAGGGGATGGGATGGGGTGGGATGGGGCGGGGTGGGGTGGGATGAGCTGGGGTGGAGGGGGGTGAGGGGGGATGGGGAGCGGGAATTGGCCTGGTCCTCTGAACCAGGGGTCTGCCTTCAGGTGGGTGGCATACCAGTACCCTGGGTACAGGGGCTACCAGTACGTGCTGGAGCGGGACAGACAGAACGGCGAGTTCAAGAAGTACAACGAATACAGCAGCCAGGCCCACACCAACCAGATCCAATCCCTCCGCCGCGTCC